GAGAAGACTCTGCTCCAACTATTAATAATATTGACTCTAAAATAAGGTACAAATCTGATGTGAATCTTCAGTTTATTTTTATCTCTTTCTTAAGGACAGTACAAAGACCTTCTTGACTTCTTTCAGAAAGTTTGTCATCTACGTGTCCCAAACTTGCTGCCATGTGATCAACTGTTAAGAAACCTACAGTGTCAAATACATTTTCTGTTACCCACCTGCTACTGCTGTGAGCCCAATGGGCAGGATTTGGCCAAATCTGATAAAATACTTACTATTATTCAGCAATGGGGTTTCAGCGCAATAAGTGTGTGATGGCTCCTGTACACTTTACATCCTGTTTTCATAAGCTGTATCCTTAATAATTGACCAGGTTACATATCAGAAAGATTTAAAATGATTCATCATTTTACAAATTCTTCAGTAAGTTAATGATTTTAGAAAAAATACTTTTGTTTAGCAACTAATTTCAATGACAATATGAGTTTTTCAAGAGTATCAATGGAAGAAGATATGTGAATAGATTTCTCCCTGTAGTATAAAGTACAAAAACAATTTCTTAGTAAGCCATTTTAATTTTTATTTGTTTATTTAGTCTCCCCTTCAATTTGCATGTGTTAAAGAACTTAGAGGAAAACTATAGTGAGTAGGTATTTGAGGTCAGGCCTGGGATCAAAGCCTAGCTCTTCTATTCACTAGATGTAGCCATGTGATCCAGAAAAAGATATTTAATTTCTTTAAAACTAATTGGACTTATTTGTAACACTGAGAATAATGGTACCTACTTGTGTTGATGTGAATATTAATTTAAATAAAATGCTGTAGGTTAGTTACACTGTGCAATGCTTAAGAAACAGTTTGCCTCACAGCGCTGCGCTCAGCCCACATGGAGTGGCAGACCTCTCCTGTCTTGCCTGCTGCTCCCCTCAGCAGTATTTTTGGTTGTTTGCCTGTTCTGCTCCCCACTCTGTCTCTGGTGAATTCTCTCACCCTCCTGCACCTCTGGCCTGTACACCAGTTCATAAATCTTAAAAAAAAAAGAGTAAGTGAGAATATTAGAATGAGGAACAGTATGAATGTCATTAAATGTGATACATGGAAGTCTATTATTGTCTGGATTTTCCTCCCTCCAAAATAGAATTAAAGTGGTGTGAAGTAAACATTATTCATGGCAGTCTTGGTTACACTATTGAGAAATTGTGTTTTTCTCCCTCTTCATGTTATCTAATTTTGTTCTAAAACATTTCTTGATGATTTTGTTATCTCTGGGTACTTTTGCATTCCTGAGATAGAACAAGTGCTGATTGCAGACTTTATTGTGAAGATAAAGATAGTAGACCTTATTTGACTTACCAAGAAAGGACTAAAATCCATTTAAACATGTCAAAAGAAAAACAATTAATGCAAAATTTAAGTGTCATAAACAAAAAATATATGTTATGAGAGAATTAACATCAAGGATATAAAACATGAAATTTTTCCATTAGCCAAAATGAATTAATGTGGAAGAGAATAAGGAAATGAAGTTTTTGACCTGACTAGTCACATAAAATAATTAGGACATTCAAAAATGTGTGAAGGGCCTCCTTGGTGACGCAGGAGTTTAGAGCTATCAAAGTCTCAGAGCTATCAAGCTATCGCCATCTTCACGTCTGGGGAAGTAACATACATGGCTCAGCAAACCTCTCCTGTCTCACCCACTGCTCCCCTCAGCAGTGTATTTCAGCAGATCTGCCTGTTCTGCTTCCCACTCTGTCTCTGGTGAATCCTTTCACCCTCATCTCTGTCCTACACCCCAGTTCTTGTATACATAAATAAATAAAAATAAATATTTTTTAAAATGTGTGAAGTTTTTCCTGTAATTAATTGAAGTCATCAAATCTGTAATTAATACTATAGTTAGTGTTACTTATCATAATTCTGTTGCTCCAGTAAAAGCTATTAATACTATAATAAATTTAAAAAATACTATAATAAATTTATTTATTTATTTATTTATTTATTTTAAAGATTTATTTTTATTTATTTATACAAGCACTGGGTACAGTCAGAAGCACGGGAGGGTGAGAGAATTCACCAGAGCCAGAGCGGGGAGCAGAGCAGGCAGAAGGACCGAAGTACACTGCTGAGGGGAGCAGCGGGCGGCAGGGGAGGTCTGCGCGCCATGTGGGACCCTCCTCCAGTGGCCGGGGAGCAGCCGGGGATCGAACCGGCACTGCAGAGGCTGCGGGCAGCTTCGCAACCCAGCGCTCAACCGCTGCGCCACCGGGGAGGCCCTATAATAAATTTATTTTAAAGTATAATATTAGATTGAAATTTTTTAGAAAGATCTAAATACAGAGTAGGTACTAAGTGGACCCCGCAAATATGATTGAGTAAATTCCTGTAACATGTAGTTATGTATTTGTTCTATCCTAGGAATATCTTAATGCTGTAAATGCTATAAAAAATATAGAAAATCCAAGGAAATAAGACACAAACTCATGATACTTTCAGATACAAATGCCACATATGATTAAGTATGATTAAGTTTAAAATATCACCACCTCACTTCCTGTGCTTTGGAATTTGTCTGGAATTTCTATTAATTTGTGATCTAAATTAAAGTTGTCAGATCAATAACTGATGTACCATCCAAAAGAGATTTCAGATCGTACAGAGAAAATTATTTCAGATAAAAGGAATTCACATGTGGTGTGGTATCCTAGGGAATCACAGTTCAATTTGGGAAGCCCATGTGTCTCAGTTGTGATGTCTAACAGGTCAAGAGCTAAATTTGAAACTTTCTATTCATCACCTTCTTCTTCTTCTTTTTTTTTTTTTTTTGATGTGGGGCTGAAGTCAGCCCACTCTGCCCGCAAACAAGCTGTGATGAAATACAGTAGGTCTGCTCTGAAGTGCTCTGGCTTCCATTACAAAGAAGCATCTATTCTTTGTTCACCAGGAAGCACAAAAGATGCTCTTACATTCCAAGAACTAATCATTGAACGAACCAGAAAACAGGGATCCAGTGTTAAAGACCACTTCTCCGGTTTACATTATTCAAAGTTAGGGTGTTGTATAAAGTTCACACGCAAACAAAAGGGTTCATTTGATTATAAGTTCAGTTCAAAAACAGAACATGAATGTAGATTCCAAGATTTGTTGGAAGAATTGAATATTCATTATCTAAAAGGAAACATCACACTGTATTTATTTTTCTATTATAAACCTAGTGTTTTGCAAAGCTATCCTTAGTTTCTTAAGTATGGTTGGGTTCAGAGAGGAAATTTACTTTCAAAAAGCAAAGTCTCTGTATTTTATCTGGAATGAGTAATGAAATCTTGCCACTTAGCTGCTCAGAGAAAGGACTAAATTTATACTCTAAGTTTTAAAAAAGGCCCATGTGTTAAGCTACTATATTTAAGGGTTTAGGCAAATTTTAAAGTACAATCCCCTGCACCCACTGTCCCCCCCAGGGTAGTAGAACTCTCCTCATAGCATTTTGAGTCCTAGTCTTTGAGTTTAATATATTTGCTTGTAATGTACCTGTTGGTCAAGTTCTTTTGCTCAAAGAATTTGTAAAGCATTCGTCCAGAAAAAACTCGAATGTGTTGCCCATAGGACAAACTAGCTTTTGTTTTGTCTTGATTTTGAGATTAACCTGTTTTCTCCCAATTCTTTGTACTCTTTTTGTTATTACCATAAATTATGGAAATGAAAAGACCTGTTTTTTGAAAAAAAGAGGCAATGGAAAAATAATATTTCTTATCACTAAAAACTATACCACCCTCCTCCCTGTGCTTTTCCTCTGTCCATTTCGCCCTCCCGCCCCAAGTGAATTTTTCTGCACATTGGAACCATTTCAGTGGTTCCTGGCAGGGTTTGAAGTTTGGGTTTTCTGATGGACTTAATTTAGAATCACTTTTAATTTTATAACAATTTTAGATTTATAGATTTTTTGGCAAATACTGGGAAGGAAGCCAAAGCTTCCTTTATAATTAGCATCTTATATTAGTATTGTATATTTGTTATAATAAATTTATTATACATATATATTTTTAAAGATTTATTTATTCATTTATACAAGAACTGGGTTACAGGCCAGATGTGCATGCGGAAGGGTAAGAGTATTCACCAGAGACATAGCGGAGAACAGAACAGGCAGACTGACTGAAATACACTGCTGACAGGAGCAGCGGGCCAGACAGGAGAGGTCTGCCATTCCATGTGTGTATCTCCGTGGCTGGCCGGGATCAAACCCGCACTGCTGAGGCTGCAGACAGCTTCACCGTGCTGCTCTCAACCGCCTGTGCCACCAGGGAGGCTCTATACATATATTTATATAAAAATAAAATTTAGGTAATATAAATCTATTTATAACTGGCTATTATACATATGAATTTTAATTATAGTTAATAAACCAATATTACTGCATTATTATTTACTAAAGTTCATGCTTTATTCATATTTCCTCAGTTTCATCCTAACATCCTTTTTCTGTTCCAGGGTTCTAGCCGGGATGCTATATCACTTTTAGCAGTCCTACATCTTTATGCTCCTCTTGCATAACAGTTTTTCAGATTTTCATTGTTTTTGATGTTGATAGCTTAAAAGATTACTAGTCAAGAATTTTGTGGACTCTCAGTTGGGATGTCTGATGTACTTCTCATTATTAGACTTGGGTAGTGTTTTGGGGGAGAAAGACCACAATGGTAAAGTGACATTCTTACCACATCATATCAAAGATACATCCCATCAACATGCCTTAGCACTGCTGATGTTCTCCTTGATCAGAGGACCTGTTTGTCAGATAGAATTACATTTTCATTTTTACCTGAAAACAAATTTTTTCCTAAAGATTTTGATGATGCATGCATTTAAATATATAAAGAAGGTATCAGGGACTGATCCTCTGTTTTTCTTTATTAATAGCATTGTAAAGCAGCTATAATTTTCTTAGTAATGAGACAAGAATAATTTCAGTGGTGGTAAAAAGTTTTATCTTTTTTCATGTGTCATAGGTGGGAATGAGATCCCGAAACCAGGGTAGTGAAAGTTCATCCAATGGGCATATCTCCTGCCCCAAGTCCTCCATCATCAGTAATGCTGATGATAAAAGTCTCTCAGAAGATACAAAAAAGAAGAACAAATCAAATAGAAAAGAGGATACTGTCATGGCCTCAGGAACTGTCAAACGACATCTAAAACCATCTGGAGAAAGTGAACGAAAGAATAAGAAATCCTTGGAGTTATCCAAAGAAGACCTCATCCAGCTACTCAGTATAATGGAAGGGGAGTTGCAGGTAGAGTCAAATTTTCTCAACTACTGTGGTTCTGTTGCTAAACTATAGAATAAACTATGAACCTGTCTCACTGGATTGTGAGCTTCATGTGGGAAAGGACTATATTTTTAAAAATTTATTTCTAAATCCCTTGTGCTTGGCACAAGTTTGCACTGCATGAATACTTGTTGAATGAATGAATAAATCAATAGATGCTGATTCTAACTTTGAACTTCTCTAGAAGCAGAAAATTTCTTCATAGTATGATTTTAGTAATAATTTAACACAGGCCCCTGTACTTAGTGGCAGGTAAGCAATAAAGTTTTCTAATTTAGTCATTGAATTTAGTCATTTAGTCTACGGTTAAATACTGTAGAAAATTCATGATTATTAGAAGGGAGAGTTAAGATCATTTATTACTTTTACTTTTTTCCAGCGAGTACCAGAGAGATAGATAGGGGGAAAGACAGGGTAAAGGAGAGAGGGAAGAAAAAGGGAGGAAGAAAGGGAGAAATGAAGGAAGTGAAGGAGAGCTTTGCTTAAAACTAGCTATATTTAAACCAGCTTGTTCTTTTCTCATTTTGTCATAACTTTCAACTTTAATATTTTGTAACCTCGTAAGAGTTGAGATAAACAGAGCATTGTACTGTGAAGAACTAATACTTTTACAAAACATTTAAGTCTATTATTTCTTTTGATTTCAATAAAAATGTAGGTATTATTGTCTATATTTATAATGAGGAAACTGAGCCCCAGAGGATTAGGGTTTGTCCAGATGTGATTTGTGATTTGAGGCCTCCTGGTTCTTGCTCTTCTCACTTCACTGCCCATCATCTCCAAGTTGTTGAGCTGCTTGAACTAGGGCCCCATTAAGTGTAGGATTTTTAGGGATGTGAGAGAGAATTGGAATTTTTCTGAGTTTCTGAGTCCTGTACAATTGTATTCATGGAAGTGGGGAAACAAATTTTTTTTTTTTTTTTTTTTTTGTGAGAGACTGACTTAACAGTGGAGTTGCTGTTTTCCTTTTGTTTTTGTTAGGTTCTTAGCTAGAATGAGCCTCTAGGGGAATACTAACAATTGCATGTGATGAATCCTTTGTTAGCTCACTGGTACTGTTAGAATAGAGATCATTTGCAACCTAGCCTAAGCTTGAGTGGGCTAGTTGATCTGTTCCTGTTCTCATTTGTGTGTGCATACAGATAAGAAAACCCCTGGGGAAAAGAGAAATAGAAAACATGTAAAACTTCAGTTTAAAAAAACAAACATGATTGAGCTTACCATGTACGGCTGAGAAAAATTGCATTTGCATTTCACAGCAAAAGATGAAAATTTCCAGAGCACCATTACCAAAAATAGCTTCGCCTCTCCCAGAAATGTGGTTAATGTTTTGTCTATTAACATTTATGGTGTAAAGAAGCAGAATATATTACTCCAACTTTGTAAGCTGCTTCCAGCTGACAGCTATTGATCTGAGTGAAAGGTAGAAAGGTTACCTTTGGAAAGCTTCACAGAACAATGCCATTAGCTCACTTTTCCCCAGTGATAGTGATTCATGTGAAACCCAGGTCTGGGTTTTCCATTTTCTAATTTCTATATAAAGCTGTTATATCATGGTGGGTTCTTGAAGATTTTAAAGATTCATATCACTTCTATGTTCATAGGGTTGCCAGATAAGGTTCCAGAGTCTTGGCATGGAAAATATAAACTCCCACATACCCTGGACATTGAAGAAATTGGCTACAAAACTCCAGAGAAATGCATTTACTTTCTATAAGTCCTTATGAATACAGAATATCTTATCTTAAATAGTGGATATATTCCTGAGATGTAATAAATAAAGATTATAAGATATCTGTATAAAGCAGTGAGGGAAAAGAGAAATGAAAGACCTGTTTTTTTGTTATTATTTATTTATTTTTTAACATTTATCCTTTTTTAAAATTTTTTTAAACAATATTTGCTTCCCCCCACCCCCTGAGATTGAGTCCCCATAGAATTTCCTTCCCCAAGGCACCTGTGCACCATCACCACAGTCCCCTGTGCTCCTCCCTCCCTCCCTCTCACCCCTCTTCCTTCTCCTCCCCTGCAGGATGTCTCTGGTTTATAATTGTCTATTTTTGCTTTGTTGTGTTTTGTACTCATATTTTTTTTTACACTGATGTCTTATTTGGTTCCCCTATATTCCTGCTATAATTGAAATCATCCGATATTTTTGAAAGACCTGGTATTTTAAGGAATTTCATTTGAAAAGCAAATAATCCATCCAGCCACCCATATGTGCAAACACATATATATGTAAATCTATGTACTTGTCAATGCAAATTTTGCATTGTTAGATTTGTTAAAAATCAGAGCATTCCTATATTTAGAGCTGCAATTATGTGTTCTTGTAGCAGACACCTGTCCTTTATTAGCATTGTCACATGAGGGAGTATGTGTGCTAGAACTAAGAGTGGGAGGCAGTTAGCATTAGAAAATGTGAGTGGGCTGGTGAATATGTGGCAGCTATGTGCCAGGTTTTTCATAAGGGGGGAAGATCTAACTAAAGACCTGGTTCAGAGAGGAATGTCAGGGATATGACACATGAAGTAAATTACCCTCATCTCAGGCCTTTATGCCATTGGGCTGGAAAGGTATAAGCATTTAATGAGTTGTCTCTTAGACCTTCAAGGGCCACCTATTATTCTCCCTTCTGACTCCATAAGGGCTGTATGTGACTCAAATACTCTTACTCTGGAGGTGATATTCTAAGGTTCTATAAAATACTGGGATTGACATCTTTGAGATGTCTTATCTACCTTGTTTATACTATGAATATGAAACTGACACTCAATTTTTTAAAAAGGTTTATTTATGCATACAAGAACTGCGGTACAGGCCAGAGGTGCAGGGGGCTGAGAGGATTCACCAGAGAACAGAACAGGCAGATCGACTGAAATACACTGCTGAGGGGAGCAAAAGATGAGACAGAAGAGGCCTGCTGTGCCATGTGGGCAGCTCCCTGGCTTGCCAAGGATCAAACTGCAGACAGTGCTGTTCACAGTGCTGTTCTTAACTCCTTGTGCCACCAGGGAGGCCCTGACACTCAATTTATGTGACCCCAAAGTTACACAGCAATTTAGTAACATTTGCTCTAAATCCAAATTCCCTGTCAACTAGTCTAATATCCACCCCCACCATTCCATTTACACTCTGGAGATGTTCAAGGGTGGGTTTGAGGACCATTCTATTTTTTCCTTCATCTCCAGAATTCCAATTCTGAGGTCAAAGCCATTTTGTGAAAAGATGAAACCTTTTTTATTTTTTTAATTAATTAAATAATATATATTTTACATCATTGTTCATTTTTAAACAATGTTTGCTTCCCCCCCCCCTCAGGTATAGTCCACATAGAATTTCCTCCACCAATTCACCCATGCACCATCACCACAGTCCGCTATGATCCTCCCTCCTTCCCTCCCTCCGATCCCTCTCCCACCCCCTCTCCTGCATGATGTCAATGAGACCCTTTTTAAATAAAAGAAATTGAGGTAGGTTTCTTTTGCATCAGTAAGTAGAATTTGATCTAAGCCTTGAAGTTTAGTGATATCTGGAGTGAGAAAAGAAGGGAAAAATGGGGGTGCCAAATCGCAACAACTGGACTGTACTATCCTGGTGAGTTTCATATTCACTACTCTATGAGTAGTGTGTTCTGGAGTTGTGTAAGAAGTAGGGAGATTCATAGAGAAAAGGAATTATAATATTGGGGAGATAAGACCATGCCTGTAAGAGAGGTTCCCTGGAGAGGGAAAAGGAGTGGGTGGAGGCTCACTCAGGCTTCTCATACCAGTTTTCTCTCTCCAGACTTCTTTTTGGTCTCTCATTCTCTCCAACTCCATATCCATTGTTTTGGACATTATGGAAAATACTGTGTGTTTTCTGGTACCAGTGGTCTGCTACCTTTGCAATCTGTTGTGTGATCTATGGGAATTTGTTGAGGCAATGTTTTAAACATATCGTATTTATTCTGAGCTCTGACTTTTTGCATAATTTGAAAATTTGTTGTTTTGTTGGCTGGTTTGAGTATCCACTGATCTCCTGAAGGAAATTCTGGAGATGAAGGAAAAAATACCTTTAATGGAATATGTATTTAAAATGGAGTTGCCTTTTGGAAGAAACTTCTACATTTTGAGGAGTCTTGTTTAGAGTGGATGATGCGATGACCCTTGTTCTTGGAGAGGGGCATCTCCCAAACTTTTCAAGTCACACCTCGGCAGATGCATGACCATTGTTTCACCACAATGACTGGCCAGCATTGCCTGCATAGAAATATCTGGGATGGTTTCCATTATGACACTTCTGTCATTGACTGCTTCCAGTAACAAGCACTTTCTAATAAATTGGAACATTTTTACTCTCTGGGTGAAAAACTGGTTACATATTTCCCAGACTAAACTGAAATAATGAAATAGTACAACCAAACCATTGCTTGGGCACCATGATTAATTTCCCCTTGTATTTGTCCAAAAATAGCACTTTAAAGAAGCCAGTCAACTTGGCCGTACTAAAATCAACAAAAGTTCAAACGAAATGGTATTCACACAAAAAAGCCATAATAAAGAAAACTTGGCAGAAAGATATCCTTATACAATGATTCAAAAACAGGATATAAATTAATTGTTTTTCTTGATGCAAAAAGGAACTTAGCTATTTTATGTAGTAAATTCTCTTGATATAGCTCTTTAAATACACTTTAGAAAAACCAAACTCAAATTGGGTTTTATAATTTTTGCCATAGTTATTCTAGTCAATTATTTTCCACCAATGTATAGGCAGCTTAGAGAAAGCCAGATAATTTAATAGATAATATTCCACCATACCATTTGGCTTTGGTGTTTGTTAAGCTGTCAAAATCTTTGACACATTAAGAAATCTAATTTCATCCTGAGTGAATGTTAAAAGAAGGTGTATTTCAAAGATGATTTAAAAAATTTATAAAAATGCTTGTGAATTGTTAAATGTTTCCTATATTCTTTCCTTTT